TGTTGAATCCTTATCCAGAACATTAATCCCCAACAATAAGTGCAAGAATGGGATTTCCCTGCAAGAGATCAAATACCCCTACCTAGTGAGAAAGTTACAGGGAGGGATAGCACTGTTGGAGGAAAGTACCACAATAGGTGGGCCCACTAACTATGGGACTTACTATGGTCTTATTTAGAGCTGCTTATTGGGTTTTATACCTCCTTACAGGGTCTATTCCCATCTGCACACGTGTGGGTCATCACATTATAGCTGTAGGTCATCCCTGCTTTCCAAAGTTATCTGTTAGAAATTCTTCCAATTGCTACTATACTCTTCCTGCTTTCCTCTCTCATCTGAAGTTCAACTCTAACTCAATAGGTGGATTTTGTGGGGTCATTGTGAGAAGAGGAAAAACTTCACAGGGTAGACCAGCAATCTCGCAAACCTGGTTACCCCTCTAGAACATCTGCTCCTTCCTCTGGGAATCCACAGGGTTCCCCAATGAGGAGTCCTATGAGACACTAATGCCTAGTAACCTTCTAAGATGGCAGTCACTTTAGCCTGTTTTATTTTATGATCTGAAACACCTGAGAAATAGCTTTATAAGCTTTGGTTTCCTTATGAGAGAATTATGCCTATAATGTGGAATTGTATACAGATGAGCTATAATATATGTGAATGGATGAGCACACATTTGGCACGAGAAAGGGACCATTATAGCTGTGATCATTAGGAAAGTATGAAGAACTGAGCTCCAGGGACTTGAAGTCCTTTATAAGGCACTACCTGGGTCAAAGTCTAAATATATCATGCAATTCCTATCTTTTAAATCCACCAGCTTTTGTTTTTTCACTTACAAAGGCAGTGAGGTTAGATTAAAGCCACAGACTTGATCCCACATCTCAATAGTCTACTAATGGAGATAAGCTGAAACATAACCAAGAATAGGAACATGTTTTCCAAGTGGTTTGTCCTACCTATTTATTATCTAATGCTCGCTTATCAAGACATCTCTAGGTTTAGAAATGAAAATGCCTAAAATTCAGTTTTTTAAAAAATCTCTGACTGTGGCCAAAGAAAGATAGAGAACTTCTGTAACTCTTCTTATGGAATTTTCCCAAATCATGCCACTAACCTCTGGTATCCCTACTGTTAAGAAGCAATTCTGAATCCTGCTCAAAGGATCCCCATACAAACCATTATCCATGGTAGATTTACTAGGACCAGCCTTTTGGTTTATTTTAAACCATAATAAAATGTTTGATAGCAATTACAGGAAACTGTTAATTCATTAAAAACAATTATTCATCCTACTCACTATATTACTAGAAAAGGTTGGAATAAGTGGCAAAGCTCACCAAGCAGAGAAAGTGGCAAACAAGTATTTGGCAAATGAACCTGTGCTCTATTCTCAGGATTTTGCATGAAATATTAATAAGGGCTGTTGTTCTAATATTCACACTGGGCAGCAGGCACTTTCTGATCCAGTAATTATATAACAAAAAGCAAGAAGTTTCTCATTAGTGAGTTAACACTCACTGTTGGCTTGGAATGAAAGCCTCCTGTATAAGATGGCCAGATTTATTCAGTTGTTTGTTCAAGTTCAAAGTCCTGCTAAAGTGGTCTTTGGTGAAGTGGTCTTCTTTAAAGTCCCATTTAGGTTCAAGATTCAATTTGTGGCAAATTAACATTCCCTGTCATATACTGGTTTGAGTCTGCATACCCATACATGCACAGTACAGAATATGTGTGGAAAGACACAGAGATATAAACAGTTGTGATAAGAGCAGTAATCAATATTGAAACACTGGGTAAGTGATCACATTCTTCACAAACAAGAGGTCTTACTCAATAGTTACCTCCAATATCTGGCCTACATTTAGCCCCCAGGAAATGTTGACCTTTTCAATGTCTAAATAAAGTGAAAACTTTTCATTTCATAGCTAGATGATAGAATATAGGACATAAAACTGTCCCAACATAAAAATAATTGACATTCCTGCTGGCAGGAAATTAAATTTGGATCCTTGAGTATATTTGTAGTGAACTACCACAACCAATTGCTTTGTTTTTACCCTGTTAATTTTACATACTCCAGTGATGCACAAAACGATGTTTCTCTTTAACACATCCTTAATGATTCAAGCTTTCCTTTCTTTGCCAATTTGCTGATAGAAACAATAGAGAAGTACAATTAGGCAGTCCCTTCTCAAAGTGCCTAGAAGCCTCTGCCTTTCCCTTATTTTGTAGGCCATCCTACCCTGCAAAAACAAACACATAACAAACAAACAAACAACTGGCAAAGCACACTTAGTTTTGGAACGGCCGGCTTTCTCTAGACTCTTTGGTATAATATTACTTTGTTGCTGGGACAGATGAAGAGTGGTTTAGAAAAGGGACATCAAATTGCCACTGAGCATGGACGGGAATGTTGTTTCCTATTAAACTTATAAAGCATGTCTTTATGTGAAACTCCAGATATGACCTAGTTTAGAATTTTAGAAGCATGGACTCTTGAGAGTCCATTCATATCCATTAGGTTTTTCTTTAAAAAGTTACCAAGACCGGCCCTCCCTGGTGGTGCAGCGGGTTAAAGCACAGCACTGAGAATCTAAAGCCACTTCCGCATGAGTTCGATTCCCGCCTGCCCCGGAGGTGACCACATGGCGTGGCAGACCTCTCCTGACCTGCCCGCTCCTCCCCTCAGCAGTGTACTTCGTCCATCTGCCTGTTCTGTTCTCCACTCTGTCTCTGGTGAAGCCTCTCACCGCCTCTGGCCTGTACCCCAGTTCTATATGCACAAATAAATCTTTAAAAAAAAAAAAGTTACCAAGACCATAAGTTGAGAATCCAGCTACATTGTTCACATCCTGAAAGGGCTCATTGGCAAAAGACCAAATAAAGATTAGAGGTTTTTAGGGTTACCCATGCAAAGAATGATTATACTTTCATTTGTGAGGTCTGGACCAAGTCTGACAAAGGAGTTCAGGTTGGCACTGAAAGAATATTAATTGATACCAATGGTGGAGTTGCTGCTACATTATTTTCTTAATAGGTTACTATTAACATTAGAACTCTTGAGCCATTTCCATACCACAGAATATGTACTTAGATGTCAGACTTTTCTTACAACCATTCTATTTTTATAAATTGAATTTTTCTGCTAATTTGGCAGGATTCTCTGAGTTAATCCTCAGGTTAAATTGCTTTTTAATTCATAAGGAGCAGAGAGGTAATATCAGAGTGCAACAATTAAGAGTATTGCAATTATTTTTGAAAGAAGAAAATGTAATTCTAAGTGATTTTCTCATTTCACTCATTAATAGCTGTGTATTATAGGAAAGGGGAAACAGGCAGTTACCATTTACAGAAGGGGAAATTGAAACACAGATTAAATAACTGGCAAAGGTCACATAGAAGTCAGGGATTGTGCCAAGAATAGAACCCATTTCCTTGATTCCCAAGTCTATATATATGATGCATATGTCATCACCAAATATGTTTGATCTTATACAATTAAAACAGAAGTGCTAACAAATTGTACCTTGATGTTCTGGATATGGTTGGTACTCAGTAAATATTTGTATGATGAAGAGTTTGTCTAAACGTACTGAGTACCAGTGATGTAGAAAATGTGTTTGTAAGGTAAGAGCAAGGTTAATGCACTGTGGGTGCCAGAAATTTCTCTACATGTTTTGGTTGGTTATTACAGATCCCATATGCCACAAAGAAACTAGAAAGAGAGGTGATGGTTTACAAAATTTGGGAGTGACCTCATTCCCAAACCATAGTTTATTAGCATTACTCAACTTTATAATATGGCGTTCTGTCACTCATAATTGTTAGTTTCTAAGTTATTAGCTCTTCTCCAGAATAAATTGAAATTTTATAGATTTGCTGTTGTCAAAACACTTAAGATGTCTGTGAGAGATTATGTTATTCCATCAAAATTCAACTCTAATCAGTGAAAATCTAATAGCTTAAAGTTATTTACTTTTAAGTTAGTTGTATATTACAAATATCATGATTTTAAATGAGTCCATAAATAGGAAGACTTAGTCCCAAACTAGCAACATAATATAGAATTTTAGTAGATCTCTTTCTTTTAGTATACATTGTCATAATGTAAATAGGGTGTTCAACCTTTGTAAGTTCTCCATTTCTCTATTCTTAGAAAATGACACTCTGATGAGAAATCAGACATTCATAGAAAAGCTACTTCTCAGAAACTTCTTAAAAATTCCATAACTCATCAATAACTTACACTGTTGGAATACTATCCCCAGAGCAAAGATTAGCACACAAGATGAAGACAAGTCAGCACTGCAGGAAGAATCTAGAAAACCAAATAGCCACTTCTATCTGGTTGTGCTAGAATTAAGTTTTGTTCACTTCTTAAACTGTTTTTTAATCGCAGTCCTCCCAAGCAAGGTAATGTGCTGACTGAGCCTTGGAAGGAAAAGAACGGCTTCTTTAGGAGCACAAAATAGGTGGCAGCACAGTTCAGACTGAAGGGCAGGCAACAGCAAAGTCTGAGGAAGGGCGTGATCACCAGCAGGTGAGCTCTCAGATCGCATCACCTACACAGTGAGAAATGGGAGGAGTACAGTAACTGATGCAGTGGGGAGCTGATGTCTTGGTGGGGGTTTCAACTGAAAAATGAGACTGCAGTTCCAAATAACAGTTCCCAGACTGACCTTAATTTTGTTCCCATGCTCCCAAAACTGTTAGAAAAAAATCATGAAACAATAAGAAATGATATATTCAGGAGAGAAGAGGAGTAGCTGTTGCCTACCGCTTTCCAAGGAAGGGAAAGCCTTTTCCTCAAATATACTACAAGTATGCGTAAATGAACAAAATAAGGCTTTATATATGTATGTAGGTGTATTTGTATGTATGTATGCATACAATACACAGACTACATGTTCCATATGCAAACTCCCATCTGTGTTCACTGAAGAATTTTGAGTTTAGGTGTCAAAAGTATTTAAGTTAGTCAAGAAATGAGCTATTCCTACCTTGCTTTGGAATGACTATGGTTACAGGGATACCAGAACCACTTGATTGTAGGCTGAGGGATACCATAAATGGTGCATGTGAGGATTTGTCTGCTGCCCAGTGGGTAGAGAGTCGGGTCTGGAAATGATGACACGGCCTTTTCGTAAATCTGGGGTTTCACTGGAAAAGAGTTGAAGAATAGGACCAAAGTTAAGAGATGTCCCAACATCTTGTGGACTTCCTCCACAACATAAATGACCATATCCTCACAGATTTTGACATCAGGGAAACAAATACATGAACAAAACTGGAAAAGTCCTCAAATTTGTCATTATAATGCAATTTTTTAAAGTAAAAGTGTTTTGAGAACATTAAAATACAGATTCCATATGATTACAATGATAAAGCATCATATAACTTAAAGGAAGTCCACAAGGAGACTTGACATGAAGGCATGGTTGATTTTAAAAGTTGCTTTTCTTTGATGTTGTTATACTGATATTTGACTTATAACTGGTCATTAATTCTACCCAGAACCAGAAGTATCAATGGTAAACTTACCATTTACAATTAAAGTGGCAGTGAGGTTTTTAAACACATTGGCTTGTGTTATGCCCAGCAGAATTGTATAATCCCCTGCATCTTCTGCAGTTACATCTTTGATAATTAATGAATAGCCATGAACCAAATAACGAGGAGATTTTTCAGTTGTCGGTACCCCATCTTTTAACCTGAAGTTAAAAACATTATCAGTAAATCATCCCACACGTGTGCTCAGATATCACTTCACAACATTGTCATTGAGGTCTGTGGACTCAAGTTTATCAATCAGCAACCTTTGATTCTGAATGCTTGTTTAAAAAATGGAGGCATTAAGTTTTCAGTAAAACCAGGTGTGATGTTTAGACTGGGAAATATTGCATCTTTATTGCAAAGAGGAAGAAGTGAGTTGAAGGAAGGAAGAAAAGTGATGATTTAAGGTACCTACAGGGATTTTGGCTGCTAAGTATTAACCCAGAAACATTGGCTGATTCTGTTTTTTAGAGCTTTCCATGAGGCTCCATCATTAATACAAGGGCCATTGTAAGTTAGATCAATTAGATCACTTCTCCAGATAAAAACAAAAATAGACTTTCCTATTGTGGTCTCATGTGGAGTTCTTGTTAGCTGGATAAATGGTCGCACCCTTTCATAAGCTATAGTGAAATGAAGCCTAGCAAGATTTTACCCCTGAGGAAGACAGTTAAGGCATGAACTTCACAAGCAAGACAGATCAACTTAAATTTTTTAAAACCTTAAATATAAGCCAGACATCATGCAGTTGCGTACAGAATTGGGATTCAGGAAGCTTATTAACTGAATAGCCATGAACCAAATAAGATTTTTCATTTGTCGGTAACCCATCTTTTAACCTGAAGTTAAAAGATGCACCGAACTGACAGACCTATGTGAGCCACATTTGTCCACATTTTCTGTTTCTTAAAGATCTAAAATTCCTATTTTTCCAATTTTCACTTGTCAACTTTTTAGAAGATATGAAAATAAAGATTTTTTTCCTACTATATTGGCACAAAGTTTAATTTTCTCTTTAATTCCCTATTAATTATTTGAGGAAACAGAAAACAAACACTACATTCATATGATTTTGAAAGCAAAATAAGCTCTGGCTGAGGAGATTTTAAAATGGCAGTGTCTCCATATTCTAGGATTGTTTTCCTAATCAGTTTTGTATTATACTCCTTTGTTTAAAATGTAATGACTCAAGCCAAAGATATTGGTGCTTAAAAGTGATTTAACAAAATGGCTACAGATTATAAAAAGATACCATTGTTTTATATCAGGTGTTGTACTAGAATAATAAAAAAAAAAACTATGGAGTTTCTGAATATTCAAACATTGGCCAAAATAAACTTAATTAACTCAAGTAGATTCATTTGTCTACTCCTGCAAATGAATTAAGTCTTGCTCTACTAGTGTCTGTTTAATTTTAAAACAAGACCCAGCTGTATGAGAATTATGTTCAGATACTTAAAGAATTATCATCCTCATTACAAGAGCCCACTTGTTCAGGGTTAATAGAGCATGTCACATATTAAAGATGCTTTCTAGTCATTGCTTAACATATTCCTTTCAAAAGATGTTGATGTCATAGGGAGAAACAGAAATTCAGTCAGAGGGAGGGAATGACTAAACTGAAATGAGCACCCAATGAAACCTAATCCCTACCTGGAAATTTATATCATGTGATAATCCAATGTTACTTCAATAAAAAAAATCACTTTAAAAAGCCTTAAATCCTGGGCCCTCCCTGGTGGCGCAGGGGGTTAAAGCACAGCACTAAGAAGCTTAAGCCACTTCTGCATGAGTTCGATGCCCGCCTGCCCCGGAGGAGATCCACATGGCGTGGCAGACCTCTCCTGACCCGCCCGCTGCTCCCCTCAGCAGTGTACTTCATCATCTGCCTGTTCTGCTCCTGGTGAATCCTCTCACCCTCCGCATCTCTGGCCTGTACCCCAGTTCTGTATCAATCAATAAATAAATCTTTAAAAAAAAAAAGCCTTAAATCCTTGCTCTATCCTGTTACATTCTTTCTTGTTCTCTCCAACTCTTATCAACAATTCCAGCTCCACACCAGAAATCAATAAAGTCTTTAGTTTCCCACTACTATCTGTGGTGCTTATCTTGATAATTTTTCAGGAATTCAAGTCCTTGGGATTCTGCATCTTCCTACTTACAAAGCATAGTTTGAACTGACAAGAAAGTAAGTAGGGTCCTACCACACAACTTCAGGCGAGGGAAATGCCTTCACTTTCATAGATAGCCGGTAAGACTTCTTGCCCGCTACAGTTTCAAGCACCGGTTCTTTTCGATGCTTCACAGTGATGAATGCTTTATCTTTGAAAGAGAAGTGATACATACATTAGCAAAGACCATACCTGCAGAAAACAACCAATTCCTTGCCTCAATAATGGAGAGTGTGATCAATTAATAATTAACAGAACTGAACTATGGTCAAGCTTATCAATGAGTCCAAATATTGATTAATGGATAAAATAATTAAAAAGCAGCACCTCATTGGTAAGATACTTTCAAATCAAATGGTTATAAATCCTAGGACATAAAAACATGGCAGGGCAACAGACCATCTTAAATATCTATATCATAATATCAAAAAAGTAGAAAGATACTTCTAAAACTCTACCTGGCCAAGATGAGTGTTCCCTCATGGGAAAAAGTTGCTCCAGGCCCTTAGAACAACTAATTTGCTATAAAAAAAAAAATCAACTGGAGAAAGTCAAAAGACTAATAAATGCCATTGGTAGAATTGACTTATAGGTTTTTTACACAGTGCTTCTTTTCAACAGTAGAATTAAAGTTTTTAAGGATTATAAAGAGGGTTAAGTATATATAGAATTTGTTTATTGGGATTAAGCAATAATATGATTTCATGAGGGTAAAATCAAGACAAATTAGCATCCATTCTAAATAATTTATCATATCATATTTTAATTTGTCTAAATCATCGTAGTATCCGAGAAATTTTCCCCAGCTAATAAAGGCAGAATTGATCACATTTTTCTGTTTTGCTCATAAGCAAGTCTAAAAAACTAAAGAATTTCATAAAAAAATTGAGTGTGACTGACCCTCCCTGGTGGCACAGCAGGTTAAAGCATTGCATTAAGAGGCTTAAGCCACTTCCACATGAGTTCGATCCCTGCCAGCCCCCAAGGAGATCCACATGGCGAGGCAGACCTCTCCTGACCCGCCCGCTGTTCCCCTCAGCAGTTTACTTCGTTGATCTGCCTGTTCTGCTCCCCACTCTGTCCCTGGTGAATCCTCTCACCCTCCGCATCTCTGGCCTGTACCCCAGTTCTGTATGAATAAATAAATAAATCTTAAAAAAAAAATGAGTGTGATTTAACAATAAATAACACAATAAATCCTTCAGGAAAAGATTCTGTTCGAGACAAAAGTATTAAACTTAAAAAACACCTAATGCGATTTGCTTTTTGGCAAGGGAGAGACAAGAACAAAGTACATTCAAAGTAATGTAACTCTTGCTAGAGAAAATTTGCTTGCTTTATGAAACCTCCCAGATCCACAATGATTGGAAAGCACAGTCCAGCTGCTCACCATATACATGCACTGAAGTGTTCACAGATTTGAATGAGGGGCCGCTCTTCACATGACAAGTGTAAAGCCCCTTGTCTCTGTTCTGGACTTGGTCAATAATAAGCACACTGTGGAATAGGTTGGTGTTGGAATTGCGTTGGTCAATTCGTTGCCTTGTATATGCTCTGTTACTTGTCTGGAAAGAAAATGTACAATAAGTATAAAAGCAATAGTTGTTCATGTTTAAAGTTAAAACGTATCTCAGATAGATATTTTATGCTAAGAAGTAAACCCACCTAGAGCAAGATGTTTGGAAACTGTTTGTCTAGAGGGGTAATGAACAGGAGAGAGTGGCAGATATGTGTGTGTGTGTGCATGTATGTTTGCATGTCATATATCACATGAATGTGATATATAGTAGTCTATATAGTAGCATATATAGTACACATTTAATATATAGTAGCACATATAGTATATATATAGTAGCATGTCATTTTCTCCAAATAGACTTTCACATACCTTACTTCTCACAGCAACCTGGTGACAGTGGCATTATTATTATTGCCCTTTTGCAGATGAAGAAACTGAAGTAGCAGAGGCCATGGCCACAGTAGGCTGGGAACTCAAGATATTTTAGTATAAATCGAGTGCCTTCCCTCAGGCATACACACCGCTGAAACAGTAACTGTTCTCTAGCATAGGTATCACACAGGTAACAGTTATCTTTAACATCTGTGTTTCCTGCAGTGAATCATCATGTGTTTCCTTTGGCTTTCTTTCTAGAAATAGGATGAAGTAAAGTGTCCTGACTATACTTACTATGGTCTAATAATCCTAGTTTCCTTATTTCAGTATTTGAGCAAACCATGCCAATTTCTGCTAAGTTACACTGAGTGAATCTGGAGACACCTAAAACCACCAGAAAGTTGAGCTAACACTTGGTGTTTCATTCCACATTCCCCTCAGGGGAGACCAGGAATCTTCAGGGCCCAATGATGGGCACCACCAAAGGACTCACCTGCTCCTGGGTGAGAAAATGAGATCACATTGCCCTTTCCTCTAATTGTTCCTTCCTCTTTTTATTTTTGGCCTTGCATTTTATAACACATAATATGTTATTTCTTCCTTTATATCCCTCCCCACCAGGGGGCATGGAAAAAAGACTTTGGAAGTTGTCCAGAACTGATCTTTGGGTCTTGACCTTCGCTCTCCTCTGTACCACATTTAACAAACATCTACCACCCATCTTTTCACTGCCCTGTTTCAACAGACACTACATTTTGGCCATGTTCTTCATTCTCAGTAGTAGGAACCAGACAGAGAAGTATGTCAATCATCACTATCAAATTCAAGCCATTCCCTAAAACAACAAACTGAGGAACGTATGAAACTTATTTTTGTAGGTATTATTTCCCCTTTTCCCCCTGAGAACTCTTTTAAACTTGGAGTAACTGGTATTGTTTCTGTTTTGGAAAACAACTGATCCTGTGTTTCAGAACCACTTTGCCCAATCCTGTAGACATCACCCACTTGTGGTTACTAAATCAAAAGTAAACAAAATTTAAAATTCAGTTCTTCAGTCAATGGGTACACATGGCAAGTGGTTATTGCATTATACTTTGGAGACAGAATATTTCCAGTGCAGAAAATTCTAAAGCACAGCACCATTTTAGAAGACTATTAGCATCTACTAGACATATTATATGAACCTTTACTTATGGTAACAACTCTAATGGGATGAGTGTTTCTTTCCTTTTGGCATTTCTAGAAAGTATTTTGATTTCTATTATAACTCAGAAAATATTGCTACAAGTCAGAATGTTTTTATTTTTTTATTTAATGAAACAACACCACTTTCTAGAAAATACTCTGTGACTGATGATCTTTCAGTGTGTCCCTCCATGACTGGAAACAATGATGAAAAACAACTCTAACTTGGGACAGATGCATTAATCTTTCACACATAAATAAGTTAACTTTTTGATTAATCTGAATGATATAACAAATGACCATCTGAGGGATGTACTGTATAAATCCTACTGACACACAAGAAATGGGGACTGGAACTGTCAAAAGTTTCTTAACAGTTTATAGTAGATTCCCCATCTGTATGTTTTTAAAATAAGTATTTTTTGCAAGGGTGTGCAATTTGAACAAGGGCATTCAACTCTGGCTCCATTCTTCTCATTTTTCCTAAAGAACAGAATTGCTCCTTTGACACTTAACAAACGGAACATTGGATGGCTGGGTTGTAATATCTTTTCTAAACATGCTCCAATCAGGTGCCTGACTGTCTGCTAGTATCTTAAATCAAGGCGCTGACAACAACTTTTTGTTGTTGTTGTTACAAAAGATAGTGCTTGCCTGGCACTGAGTGATAAATTTCTCTCTCATCTCTAAATCCTAGGAAATACTTTCCAGAGAGGAAACAATCCCTTTTCCTATCCAGAATCATGCAATAGAAATACCAGCCTACCATTTCAAAACAAAACCTCCAGACATCAAAAGACCGTATCTATGCATATCACACTCATGAAATGCCAGGCAAGGAAAACACCCCCAGCCCAACCCAAATCTCATTCACTAATACTGCCACAGAAGTCAGAATATGCTCATTTTTCCTACTTCAAAAACCCAGTGGTCTTCTACATGCTAAAAATAAATGCAGAGAAGTGGCCCACTCACCTCTCCAGGGTAACTCCAGGTCATCCGCACTCTCGTGTTCAGGGGAGTGGTGGCTGTACAGTTGAGGGCGAGCTGCTGACCTCTGAGTAGCTTCACTGGGGTTGGTGTGCTTATTTGCACATCTATGATGGTATTGGCTGTAGGCATAAGAAATAACACTTTTTAAGAATCAAGTTTTCATTAAGCAGACAAGCCCTGAGCACATTGCCTGATGCTCCATACCCTCAGAACGGTACTCACTTTGTCGATGTGTGAGATAGTTTGTCTTATACACATGTCCGTTGACCGTTGTTTCACAGGTCAGAAGCCCTATTTCTTTATAGGTGGCTTCTGATATGATAAATCCCTTCCTACTGTCCCAGGTTATTCTTTTGCCATCAGGAATCAGGGTCTCCAGTGGAAACTGAAAAGGAAGAAACAGGCTTTCAGGAAATCATATTAGCATAGGGCAATACCGTTTAGCTAACAGCTTGTAAAACACAGCTTTTCCCCAAAATGACAATTGTAGGGGTAAAAACGCCAGTTTGTTATCATCAGTTCTTTAATTTTCTGTGCATGTAGAAAGATAAAAATTAATTATGATAAATTATAATCATGCAAATTATATTGTACACATTTGCTATAACTCACTATCAGCCTCAGTAACAAGTAATTTATTATCAGCCTCAGTGACATAACCACCTTGTTGTTATGTCAGAATCTAGGGGGAACCCACATCTCTTTGGCCTCTGGGAATCCTTGTCATAAACTGATACTCAATAAAGAAGTCAGTTAGTGTTTTTTTCTATTGGGACTGCCAGGTCACCTCGTGTCTCGTCATCTGGAACTTTTAACAAGCTTTATAAAACTTGCCCTCCTGTTGTGATACGGATGTCTTCATGGGATGGTAAATAATTCCAGGTCCTCCAAGATACTTGGCATTAGTTAGCATTCACAGGTTTATCGGGCTGAGAACCTTAACTCTGCCTCCAGGAGGGAAGCTTCTTGACACTGCTCAATGAGGATGGCCCCCAACAGGTGCAGAGTCCAGATAGTTACTATAGAGCGCTCGGATTCTTTTTTTTTTTTAAAGATTTATTTATTTGTGCATACAGAACTGGGGTGCAGGCCAGAGGCTCAGGGGTGGCGAGAGGCTTCACCAGAGACAGAGTGGGGAACAGAACAGGCAGATCGACGAAGTACACTGCTGAGGGGAGCAGCGGGCGGGTCAGGAGAGGTCTGCCACGCCATGTGGTCACCTCCGGGGCAGGTGGGAATCGAACTCATGCGGAAGCGGCTTTTAGATTCTTAGTGCTGTGCTTTAACCCGCTGCGCCACCAGGGAGGGCCCGCGCTCGGATTCTTATACATAGTTCCAGACAGAAGAAAAGCATCCATAATTTGGGTCTCCCCTATGCCTTCTTCTAAATATTAAGGATGAACCTTTGAAAGACCACCATATAAACAATCTGACTTGGGGTTAGACTTTATACAGGGTCTCTGCTCCCTGGAATGGTCAGCCAAAATGCCCTGTGCCAACTTGCCAGCCCAGTCTCAAAGGACCACCACCATTACCTATTCCAGTTGGAAAAGGCAAAGGAAAGCCAGATTGCTTTCCCAAAGCAGATGAGAGAGGAAACACCTAGCAGCCCTAAGGAAGTTTTGTCTTCCCTATGTTTTTTTTTTTTTAAAGTACATCTTCTATCTCTCTACCTCCCCCCTCCCCCCTTCACTTTGATTCAGACTGTTTGTTGAAGAAACTAATCTGGCAGGAATTTGTGATTTCATGGCAGAAATGTCTATCCCAGGAGACTAAAACTTGTCTCCTGGTGAATTTGTCTACATTGGAACGAACTGCCGGATCATTCCTTGGGGTAGAGATAAATCACATACTGTTCATGCAAAACTGAAAGCAATTGAGAGATTCAGTTCATGTTTTAGTGAATCAGGAGTCTATCTTTAAACTTAGAAATGCTCTCTATTTAATGGGAAGCAAACCTTGGAATCTATCATACTGTAAAAATATGTGGGAAGACAAACATGTATTGAAACAAAAAGCCAGGTTTGCTGACGGACTTCCTCAGCACAATCTAAAACTATATTACAATTCGCTGAAAAAGGCTTCTCTTACCGTAATCTATTCGTGTCACTAGTAATATTCAATAGACAAAGGGATTTTATTTCTAGCTGACAGGGGCTAAAATAGCAAAAGGCCATGAGGCTTGTCATCTGCGGCCGTCACTGTGTGTGTCACAGAGAGGCAGACACACAGCAGTCTTGACAGCTGTGCTGTACCGGTGGCTCTTCCAGCCGACGACAGCACTGCCAGAGGAGACATGGGAAACGAGAGGGCATGCGTGGGAATGGAGAAGGCAGGCACGGCTGAGTAGAAGAAAGCCACAGCAAGAGAGTGGAAAGGCAAGATCTCTTGTGTGTTCGTGTCACGTCAACATACAAATGTAATAATAGGTTGGAACAGTTCTTACATGTGCATGTCGAACCAAAGCCCACCTGAGAACTATTATGTTTCTTTCCCTATGTCCTTCCTCCACCGGCTTCCCACTCTTCTATTATAGATTTTAGGTGGAAATGGTGTAAATTAACTTTTTCTCCCCAAATTTTTACCTGTAGGAAATTTACAATGTCCCCATTGACAGACAAGTCATCTGCACCAGGGCAGAAAGGGAAGGGGCTTGCATGAAGCAGAGACACTGCATGGTTTGTACCATATTAATCACAATCAAATAACAATGAGATCAGGAGAAGTGATGCCATGTCATTGAAAATATGATCTCAGGCCCCGGATGTGATCCACATGAAGCGGCAGACCCCTCCTGACGCACCAGCTGCTCCCCTCAGCAGTGTACTTTGTCAATCTGCCTGTTCTGCTCCCCACTCTGCCTCTGGTGAATCCTCTCACACCCTGCACCACTGGCTTGTACCTCAGTTCTATATGCATAAATAAATAAATCTTTGAAAGAAAAAGAAAATATGCTTGATAATAGACCAAATAGTTGTCAGATAAGTAATAATAGCTAATCCTTGAATAGGGCTTTCCATGAGCCAGACACTGTTCCAGGGCTTTCTATAAATGTCCTCATTTAGCTCTCCTAATTTAGTGAGTTGAGCGCTGCTATAATCACTCCCAGCTGTCATAAGGGGAACTGAGGAGAAGGGAAGAACCTGGGTGGGGGGTGTGGGGAGGGTGTGGTGTGTGGTAAGAATCCAGGCAGTGTGGCCCTGGCTGCTGCCACCCAATCAATTCCTCCTGTGCCCACCAGACCATGTCTAGGTTCAGGGAAACAGGTTTCTAGGCACAGGAAGTCCTGGGCAGACCCTAACTTCCTGGGAAACTCAGTTGTTATTTCCAGTAACGGGATGCCTCTGGTGCCTCTATCATTAACAAATAATGATTTCACGTTTCTTTGAGATGATGCATACTTGTATCGGAAGCCTGAACCTATCTCTGATGACTTATGGTGAGGGCTTCATTCAACAACAGAGGAAAGTACAAGACAGGGAGACATGCTGATTCCAATCCAGGGCCCAGGGTCAGCAGCTGATATGGAATCCATGATTGCAGCTTGGCCCCCAACACCCCCAAACCTTCCAGCACACCCTCTCTGTGATGGGCAGTGCTGAGTGCTGTCTTGGGACAGACTTAACTTCTACACTTCTTAGTACAGCTTTCCCTTTGGGGAGCTGTTATCCAATTCTTTGTCCTAGCCTACTTCTTAACACTTACTGCTGATGAATTATCTGGATTGTCACATTTTAGTTTTTGCCTTTATTAGAGTCTAGCCTAAATCTTTTTCTTCTTTGAAAGCATACTTTATAATATAATATGAAGACTAATATTTATAGCTTTTGTCACCCTGTCCCCACTCCCACGCCCCCAGAGGTCAATTTTGGATGCTCAGCAGGGGACTGAAACTTCTGAACTCATAGCAAAAGAGGTAGTTGCAAAGGCACTGAGAATCTTAAGCGGCGCCTGGAAAATCAAGCACCCTGTCAGATAGTTTTGTCTTTATCAATAGGTTAACCACAGAAAATTTGTTTGTGTTAAGTGACAGACAGAATCGGTTTTTCTCACAATTGCAGACATTAACATTTTAATCCATTTAAATACATGCACGTGTATGACTTTAAATACATTTTCTAGTAAAACAGTATTACAGAAAAGTTTGCCCAAAAGCCCAACTTTTGTAGCGAAATTATCCTAGAGGGATAAAATGACTTAAAATTCATTATACTCATTTGCATTTTTACCTTTATTAAAGAAACAGTGATGTTAGGTGATGTGACTCGGCAGGGGATCACGAGCTCCCTTCCTTCAGTCATATATATAATTTCGGGAATTTCACTGTGCAGCTCTACGAAAGGTTTATCTGTATCTGAGTGAGAAAAAAATTAAATATTTATATATATATAAATGTTTGCATTATGACCATTTAGACACTGGCTGGTGAAGCAATATGGTTACCTTCAGTTCTACTGTTCCCATTTAAAGTCATCCATACATTCACATTCTTATCTCTGCTTTTGGTCCTGCCCAGAAAATGAATGCTTTTCTAATAAAACTCAATTCATTGTTGAGTTTTAGATCGGCTCAGGTTGCCTGATGTTTTAGTATACAAATGTGATATGGGGGTTGGCACGTTTGGACCACTAGGGGAAAATGTCCTGAAAATGAAGAGAGAAAGAAGAATATTCTGCATAAACTTCTTGCCACAGTTATGCTAAAAAGCCCCAGGAAACGCCCTCCAGAGCATTTGTAAGTCAAAGGGCAGGAGACATAACAGTAAGCATCACAGGTGACAGCTGAGAGAGGTAAAGCAGGTATCAAGTTGAAGAGAGACTTAGCATTTGAATGACAAAAGCCTGATTTAAAGGTTTCCTGGACCTGCCCTGGAGGAGTAAGAATGAATGAGAGGATCTGAACTCATTAGAGGAGGAGGGGAGGGGAGATGCCATGTTGAGCATGCTTAGATTTCATTATATGTGTTGAATGTGACCAGATATGGGCAATAACACGACAGCTACCTGTGTGACCATATGTGGTCAATAGTGCAATGACCAGATCCTGGCCTTGCAATAACACGACGGCCACCTGTGTGACCATATATGGTCAATAGAGCAATGACCAGATACCGGCCTTGCAATAACACGACAGCCACCTGTGTGACCATATATGGTCAGTAGAGCAATGACTGGATACCGGCCTTGCAATAACACGACAGCTACCTGTGTGACCATATGTGGTCAATAGTGCAATGACCAGATCCCAGCCTTATAATAAATAACACGACGGCTACCTGTGTGACCATATGTGGTCAATAACGCAATGACCGGGACCTGGCCTTGCATTCAGGTGCATAGCACCACGTCAGCTTTAAACAACTAAACCTAAAGCCTATATAAACAACCCTTCCCCCTACAGCACTCGCAGTAGCTGCGGACCCCACCCTAGGGAGCTCCTTCTCAGCTGCTGCCTGGGAGCAATAAACTCTGCCTTTTCAGCCTTTCAGTCTTCTGACTTTCTTCCTTGTGGCCTTGCAGCGGGTCACAGAAATTGACAAAACAATGTTTGGTCCGTTTCCTTAGGATGCACTCCATAGTGCCTAGTAGCAAAGTATGCACATGGATGCTGAGACTGGAAAAGGACTTAAATCATCACCAAGATACCACCTGTCAAATATATGGCACTAGGGCACTCTCAGAGCCCAGAAGAATTCCTACCACCTGCTTAGTGTCCCCTAATTCCTCTGGGGAACAAAGTGAGCACTGTTCCTGTCAAGATGTACGCTCAGGCTACATTCTCAGGCAACCATGTCTTTAGCGATCTACTAGATTCTCACCGTCTGCCCTTGACTCCAGCCTTACAAGCCCAGATGGGGAAAAGTCCTGGGTTAATGTTCTCCATCTGGATCCAAAAGAACCAACTAAGACCTGCCTGACCTGCTTGTTGTAGTATAGGAAGCTCATTCCGGATGCTGAGTGGAGAATGCGCTGGAAAGAAATAAGAGCAGATGGACAACTGAAGACAGGTATAGAGGGAGGAAGTCCATGTGACCTGAAAGGCAGAGATGTATGATACAACACACTCCCCCCTACAACCCTAAAAAAGAAAAAGCAAAGTTGTAAACAAGGTGGTTCCCAGGAAAGGGGGAGGTTTCAGGTTCCTGCCCAACCCAAGGAAGGGTGGAGCTGAGCAAGAAAGAGAAGAGCTGGAGAGGAATGTGGGGAAAGAAGCTGGATGGAAAGCCAGAAGGAGGAGCACACTTAGCAGAGACCTGTGAAAAAATGCACACCCATCTTGGGCATGGACTGGCTGCAACAGATGTGGGTGAAGTTAACAGTGGGAGGGTTCACAGTGGCAACATTTATCTTGATTCTAATTTTGCTCTTTTCCTTTGAGACTTGTCTGCCCTTGCCAGTGGCTCTTCACCAGGGGATGCTTTAGACTTGTAACAGGCTTTCAGGCTGCTGTGGCCTTGCTTTGGGCCAACATTTTTTGACAAGGCATTTTACCCAGGAGGGGATGGGTAACTTGGGGTGCTTGATTTGGAAACTATATTCTTTCCTTCTCTTTGTTGTACACTAATTGTATTAAAGTTCGTATGTTTTGTCTGGATATGGTGGATGGCAGATTTTTTAGAGCAGGCAAGTTTGGGGGTCCTTAGGTGCCCCTCTCCCTGCCCTGTAACACAGTGAATGCTATATAACCTGTTGGAGGTCACTCTCCCCAAAAGGATCAGACAGGCTTTTCTCAATATCCCCAGAGTATGCTGCTTTTAGTAAGCTTCACCTTGGTGTGAACTTAAAGGTCACTCAAAGCCCAGTGAGCCTATTACCATTACTTAAAGGAATGCAGATTATTTTAAGTGCAGTGAAGGCCCTAGAAATTTTTTGTCCTTTGCCCTTTTTCCTACTTAAAGAAGCAGTCATTGCCCCCGGCCTCCCTTTTATGACCCAGGGGAATGTAGTGGGGGGTGGGGGGGGTTTCATCCTATTGTGGGTTTATCAGTGAACATGTCCTCTATCTGAAAATTACATCTTTACTTTTAGAGTGAAGCTGAGCATCCCCCTCCTCTTGTCTGTCATGTGAAGCTCAACCCCTGCCACTCCTGGCCCCTTTAATGCCCCAGGTCCTTGGACACAGATAAATATCCAAGGTCTGCTCCAGTTCTCCTGCAAATTCACAACCATGTGAATTATCCACATGTACATGATTAAGTTTTGATCTTTCCTCCTAATCTGTTTGAGTTAATTGTCTGTCCTGCTTCAGAAAAACCCAGATCAGTTGGTGAAATATTCCCTGTGCTCAATCTGTTATAGGGCACCCCAAATCTGTTAAGAGGACAGGGAGAGAGGGGCACCCCTAAAGCCCCCAAAACCTGACAGCTCTAAGTGGGTTCTGCCATCCGCAGCAACAGCAACAAGACAAAACATAAAACTTTAATGAAAAGGGACTTTAATACAGTGAATATACAATATGGAACACAAAGAATATAACTTCTAAATCAAACACCTGAAGTTACCCATCCCCTCATGGGCAAAAGTCAACCCAAAAGGGATTGGTCGAAAACAAGGCCTGAAAGGCCGCCACTAGACTAAAGCACCTTCTGGCCGGGATCCATGGAAAAGGGTCAGAAATGGCCAGACAAGTCTGGGAGGAAAAGAGCAAAATCAAAATCAATATAAACACTGCCATAGTCACCTCCCTACAGGTCTCTCACCCACATCTGCCTTAACCAGTCCGGGGTCAGGAAACAAGCCCGGTTTCTTCATCACATGCTTGCTGCTCCATGTGGCTTCCTAAGGTCTCCTCCTTCTCCATCCTGCTTCCTTCATTTCTTCTCCCTTCTCTTCTCTCCTTTTTCTCTGCTCAGCTCCACCCTCCTTCTGGGTGGGGCAGGGAACCTGGAACTTCCCTTTTTCCTAGGGACCATCCTGTTACACAATGACCCTGAGAGCAGGGTAGTTTGACATACTTTAGAGGGCTGTACAGAGACCCTCATTACAGCCCACCTTATCTACATGCCAAAGATAAATAATTCCTAAACATTATATGCAGCAATAATAACCTAAGTAATATCTGTTTGTCTCCTGGAAAACCATGCAGGCTGGCCCCTTCCTTCTACCTTTCTCTGCTCCAAGCCCTCACCGAGGCACTTTCCCAGCACCCCAACATTCCTCTCTTAAACTCATAACAAACACTATGTGCTGAACTGGAGTTTACTTCTCTGGTTGTAATGGATAATGAATTCCTAGAGGATAGGAAACATTCATCTGTCAAAAGTATATTACATGAATGAATGACTATCCAACCCCATCGTTTTACAGAGGTGCAAACTGGTAAAGTGAATTCAGAAGGTGTTCAAACAGCCCCACCCCAACCCACCTACCACCCCCTCACCCCCAAGAGGAGATTTGACTTTGCCTAAGTCCTCTGTCCTTAATTGAAAGAGAGATCATAATGTCCTAAGTTTTTGCTCTTTCACTAATCAGAGATGCAATCACTGCTCCCCTTTTATGAAGAAGAATATATTTTGGGGGTCTCATCCATTTGTAGGCTTGTCGGTGAAAGTGTCTTAAGAATCTCATCCTTAACCTCAGAACAGGATGAGCTAAACCTTTCTTATCTGTCATGTGAAGTCTCCCCCTCTCTGTTATGCACAAGCTCCCTAAATGCTGGATAAATATCTAGTCTACTCCATTTTTCTTTAGGATTTATGACAATATAAATTCTTCATATGTATGTTATTAAATTTTGGCCTTTCCTCTTACTGGAGAACTGTGCTCGGACACTTCTCCAGATGTGGGCACAGTCAAGCCTGCAGGCCAGTTTCTCCTAACCTCCTACCATCCCCCTGGACCACACTCGGGGCTGGACATACAACCTCCTTCTCTTGAGGAAGAGGTCCTGATAGAAAGGACTTGTAGGTACAGCTTTTTCAGAGAACAAGGCAGATTTTCACATAATCAAGGGGGATGCATGTAACATGCATAATAGCCAGCGTTAGAGGAAGTCTGAGAACAGGACAATCACCAGGGCCCTTCCAAGGCTTGGGAACAGAGGGAGGTGACAGATCATGGTGAAGAATGACACACTTTTCAACCTGGTTTGACACCTGGTTCTGCCCCGTGCTAGCTATGAGACACTAGACAAAGCATTTTACCCTGTACCTCATTTGTAAAATCTACCTAGTATTATTATGAAGGTTACATCAATATATGTATAGCACTTAGAATGGTAGCTGGCAAATAGTGTGTATGTATGTATATATGTATTTATACACACATTTATTAGCTGTCTTCTTAATTGGAGGGATTTGAACTTAAGGAGAGAAGAGGGCTAGGATATATGAAAATCACAAGTTACACCTGTGAT